GCTACCCGTCCAGGGCTAAAGTTAATTTTTTTTTAAATTTCTGTTTGTCAAGGCTATGAGAGTTAGTCATTAGTCACATGTGGCTGTATTTAAATTTAAATTAAATAAAATTTACAGTTTAGTTCCTTAGCCTAAAGTTGCATTAGCCACATTACAAGTGCTCAATAACTACAGTTGCTGGTGGTTATCACATTGGACAGTATAAATGTATAACATTTCCAACATCACAGATTGTTTCATTACAAAGTATTGTTCTAGGTTTGTTTTCTGAAGATAATTTCTATCCTTTCTTAATATTAGATTATTTTATAGGCTGGAAACAGCTGAATATATTAAGTCCAATATTTCATTTTAGAGGCAAGGAAACAGAGGTACAAACACCTGATTTTTATTCTAGATCTCTTTTCGCAGTTTACTTCAACTAACATCTGAGGATCTACTATGTGCTAGATAGGCATTATGCTAAGCACTAGGAGCACAAAGAAAAATAAGATTAATTCCTGCCCAAAGGCACTCATAGTCCAGTAGGGAATAAAGATGCTGATGGAGGTACGTTCAGGAAACCAGCTAGAAGTCAACTTATCTACACTGAGGGGTTCTGATATATCTTGTGGAGAATGTGAAATCTAGAAAATAACTAGAGTTTTAGGCAAAGGAGGCAAACAGAGAAGTTTTGAGGCATAAAGAACAATACTTGCAAAGCACTGAAGAAAAAGAAAATAATTCAGTATTCTTGAAACAAAGTATGAGAAGAAGCGTGAATACAGATGACACTGGAAAATAATAAGCACGTGCTGCATCATGGAAAGCTGCACATGTCATAACAAAGTTGGAGTTTTTATTCCACTGGTGGTAAGAAAACATGGATTGCAAGGGAATGGTAAAAGATTAGATCTGTATTAATCACTTAGGTTACTATCAGAAGAGATGTGACAAGAAGCCAAGAAAGGAGAATATGTTATTTAAGAAAAATTTTTTAAAATAAAGGCAGGATATGAGAACTTAAACAAGAACAGTGATGGTACAGAGAGAGAACAGACAGATTTGAGAAATAAGAGTGTAAGTTTGATAGAACTTGGTGAGTTCAGTTTTAAATACTTGCATCTGAGGAATCAATGGATTGTTTCAGTCACAGCAGTTAGCTATACATCTATATATGACATTGAGGGGAAGGTCTGGGGTGAAGATATCTATTTGGGAGTTGGTGCTAGTTTAAACCACAAGACTGAATGTGATTATCTCTAGAGAAAAGTGGACCAAGGATGAAATCCCTGGGAAAACAAACATTTAACATGTTTCCCTTAAGAGAATACGTTGAAGGCAAGTATTGAGGAGTAAGAGTCAGAAGAGAATTTCAAGCAGAAAGTGGTTGGTATGAAACACATACACACACCCCATGAAAACTGGGGGGAAAAAAGCATTAAATTTGGCAATCAGATTTTGCTTTGTGACATCTCTAAGAGCAGTTTCAGTGGAAAGACAGGAGTTAAAGATCACAACGGGTTACAGTGAGGAGGCAGAAAGAGTAAGTATAGACAACTCTTTCAAGAAACTAGGATGAGAACAATAGGAGGAATACAGAGCTCTACCTCCAGAACAATTTGTTTTGTTTTGTTTTTTTAAAGGAAGAAAAGAACTTGAAAGGGAAAGCTGACAAAAAGAGACCGTAGAGAGGGAAATGAAAATACAGGACAGGGAGCAGTTGTATGAGGGAGCTACGTCTCTTACTGCAGTTCCTGAGCATCTCCTTCTGGATGTCTCATAGCCGGATAAAATACCAAATGTCTAAGAATGCACTCCGATCTTTTCCCTGCAACATGATCATTTCAACACTGTTTTTTTTCCATTTCAGTAAATGGCACTACCCTGTAACCTGGTGCTTGTGAAGCCCAGAACTCCCTGACCTCTCCTTTTCCTTCACTCCCCACGTCATCCACCACGATGTCTATCCTTCGACACTTCTCAAACTGTCCGTTTTCCTCCACTGCCATCATTTATGATGATGCATAATGCCTTCACCATTACCTTAGTGGAAGATATATTTATCTCTTATCTGTACAATGGGTTCCAAACTGGCATCACTGCATCAGCCTCACCTCCGCTTCAATTCAGTCATCAGCGATCTTTCTATTGCTCAAATCTGATCATGTCATTCTGCTTAAAAATCCGTCTATCACCTATGTGGCCATCTCTCTGCCCACTCTCCTCCTTTGTACTATCTAGTCCAGCTCCATTGGCCTTGTCTCTTAGCATATCCCCCCTCCCATCTTGGGGCTTAACTGCTCCTCATCTTTATAACCTTCCATTAAACATCACAGCACAGAGAGGGCTATGGTCTCCTGTTGCTACCTCCAGAGTTCCCTGTCTTTCTTCTTTAAGGCACATGTCACAACTGTAATTCATTAATGACTTGTGCAATCATTTAATTCTGCCTTTCCCACCAGACTGCAAACTTCTGGGGGATGCAGAGGTTGCATGTGTCTTGTCTAATGCTATAGTCTCCTGTGCCTGGAACATAGTAGACTCAATATAATTTCCTGAGTAAGAAGAATAAATGAATAAAAGGTTAAGCAGGAAAAGGAACATTTCCTCCTGTGACTGAAGAAAATAAAGTAGGGTAGGGTACAGGTGCAGATACTTTAAGTAGTTATGGTGGCCCTAAGATTAAGGAAGAAATGGACAGTTTAGAGAATTCACATCTGGTAGCAGTGCCTTGCATTCACAGGCACTGAGAGAGTGGGAATGGTGTTTGAGTCAAATATGGCCAAGTTTTAATTAATTAAGTGATTAACCAAGTTTTGCTTAAAGGCAGAGGAAGAGGAAACAGGAACTTGATTGACCAAGAATTAGTACAGGACTATTTTTGTGATAGTTGTTCAAGGGACAATTCTACACAAATGTAGAAACCACAATATAAAAATCTACTTAATCAAATGAATCAAAGAATGAATTTCTTTGGAAAAAGTCTAAATACTATCAACGTTATTCTTTCAAGAATATAGTAGTGCCTGATTTGACTACTAAAACTTTGCCAGTGGACTTCATTGATAAGAGTGACTCATATTTACAGTTAATTTGATTCTTCAAAAATATCTGAGAAACCTGCCAACATTTTCTTCTGTCAAGTTGTTTTACATAATCTTTTAATTGCACAGTTAATATGTTAGGAAAGTTATTTCTTTACAGAGAGCACAAAGGCAAACAATCTGTTCTTTAGTTAGTTAAAGCAAATGTCTTATTGGTGGGATCCAAATCAATGTTTTTTTGGTTCCCAAGGCCAATAAGATAAGATACTAACTACCATAAAAATCCTACCCAATCTGCATGCACTGTTCACTTCCAGCACTGTAGCAGAGATGAAATAAATTGCTTTTGATTTAGGCAGCTTTTGCTGCTTAATAGTGGCTAACAGTGGATACTTCCAGAAAATAAGAGTGATTCTAGGCTCACTTTCCCACTCTCCCTCCAGATGATGCTACAGCTACAAAATGGGAAGGAGTTAAAGAGCTTGCACAAAGACAGCCTGCATCATCATCATCATCATCATCATCATCATCATCATCATCATCAAGTATAACAGCTTCATCTGCCGTTATTTCTTCATATTACCTTTTCCACACAGGCTCACCTAATTCCAGAATGCTTTCTAATTAGATGAGATTCTAGCACTATGAGGCAAATACAGAGAGTCTCAGTAGAATGACCAGGAATGGACTTTAGAGTGTTAAAAAAAATTCTTCTCTTGCATTCTCCTTCAAAATAGATGCTGGATTCTTCTCTTATTTCAGGATCCCCCATCATCTGCTTGTCCCTGCCAAATGGTGCTTCCACTCCCCTAGACCCCAAGCCACTGCTGTCATTCTAGCTCTCCACTATCTGTCAACAAATGCCAACCCAGTCGGCCGAAAGTGTGCACCCCCGACTCAGGATTATTTGCCTGTTTAAAAAGCCTCTAGAAAAATCCTCCAATGAACTATTGTAGATATACAGATACTCAGAGGTAGTGGATCTTTTATTCTGGCATAGAAACATGTTTTAAAAAGACAACAGTTATGTCACAAAAGGAGATGAGAGGAAAGCTGGCCTTACTGTTCCTAACCAAAATCCAATAGTAGGCTTCATTCATCAATTCACATCAAGAATTCTTAAAGGGTAGCTATCTAACTCCTGTCAGTAAAAATTTTATTCTCTAAGCACCCAGCCCCATTCCGAAATCCACCCATGAAAAATCTCTCTCAGAGAGAAGAGAATAAAAGAAGACCTTTGTTCACCTCTTTAGAAAGGCCAACAAACTCTGGCCTTAACCCTCAAATATTGAGGCCAGAAGAATAAATCTGCAGATCTTCCTACTACAGCTCACTCAACAGGACAAAGTGAACTATCTAGCTATTCATTCCTATGAACCCAGACTTTCGAGGGGTTTTAGAAACCATGTGGTACAAACCTAGTTATAGATGAGGAATATGAGCCTCATAGGAGTAGAGTGACTTGTCGAAGGCCACATAATTAATTAACAGCTGAACTTATTTCATTATTATTTCTACCATTCCACTGACTCTCTTTTTGCTTTGTTAATGCAGGGATGTAGTCACCATATATCCCTGCACATTTTTTCTGGATAATCTTATATGTAAAATAATTCTTATGAAATATATGCAAAGATTTCCTTTCCATCTCCTAGGACTTCTTAAACATTTACTTTCTGAGGATTTAGTAAAATATCTATCCATGTTCATGTACTAACTTTACAAAGGTAATTTTAAGATCAGTAAAACACAGATTATAAAATATAGGACATGACAAAGATATTCAATTATTCAAGTCAATTTATTCTAGCTCAAAACAAGGTTTTCAGTTCAGTGTTTTCAATCCTCTATGGTAAAGACTAATTTAAAAAAAAAACAAAAAACAACCCTAAATTTCTTGAGTTTAGAAAATACTACTCTAACCTTTACCAAAACAGTTCAGCTACTCAAATTAAGTAAGTTTATCATACGTACTTAAAGCTCTAGAATGATCCGGATTCCTTATTCCCTTTGCTCGTAACCTCTGAAGAAGAACTGTTGAGGACAATTGTTTTACAAGATATACTGCCATGGAATAGTTCTGGAAAAAAAAAAGATGCAAAAAACAAACAACACATGTAAGTAAATAGTACATCTAATTTAATCACACAGTGACAAGGAAAGAAAACTAATGCTTTTTAAAACATCTACTGTATGCCAAACACTATCTTAGGTGTTTTCATGAAGAGTAATTCTTTTAATCCTAACCAAAAAGCTGCTGAGGTGATCAGAAACCTACTTTGATGGATGAGGAAAGTGTAGACTGTAGAGAAGTAAAAGAACTTGCCCTAATTTTGCAACTTTCCAGTAATAAAGCCAGGTCTCTCATGCTTCTATATTACCAGACTACCTATGCTTGAAGCTAATCAATTTAAAGCACATATAAAAAAACATGATTACAACTAAATATAAACCAAAGCCAATAATATGCTAAAGTAATCATGAGCTGTAATTAGGAGGTAACAGATATATATAAAATAATAGTTATTTTAAAAATTACAAATTAGATTGGCTTCCTAACCTATACTTATTTAATTTCTCTCTATGCCTTTAACTAGTTCTTGAAAAAGAGCCTACTTGGGCTATTATCAAAACAAGCAGAGGGAAAATTAAAGATTCTCAATGAGAAGCTGCTAGTTTGGCAAATGAATAGATGAATATCCATTACCAGCAGAACAACTATCCAGAGATGGAGGAAGGAAAGGGGGACAAAGGAAAGAGTTAATCTACAGGACAAGGCAGAGCGAAGGGTATGTGATTGGGAAAGAGGAAGAAAAAAGGGCCGAGGCTTATGAAGGGTAAGAGAGACCTAAATGAGAAGGCCCACTTCCCGTTTGGTGTTGGAATCAAGTGGAGGATCTAGTGATTTGGAAAGAAGCAAAAGAAAAAATAGCCACTGCCATCATCTATCTTAAACTTACATACAGTTTTGAAGCAGTCAACATTAAGACTACCTACTTCATTTAAACCTCAAGTCCTATGGAACATTAGCATGGTAAGCATTTTTCTAAGTGAAGGTTGATGAAACTGAGGCACAAAAAGATAAGCAACTTGCTCATGATCATGCATCTGCTTGGTGATTAAGCTGGCACTAGAAACCAAGGGGAAAGAGTAGAGATGCCAGGAGAATGGACTTTATGGCCAAGGTCAGTACAGTTCTCCCAAGTTCTTGCTTTCACATTCACTGTCTGCTTTGACTCTCTTAACCTAGTCCAATGCACATTTCAACTTTCAGTTCCTTTCACAGTTTTAAAAAACGCTTTTCTCCTCTTTTGATCACAGAAAAATATCCTACAATACCCTCTGAAAGGTCAGTTTTTCTTTTAGAGTTCATGATCACATGTTACACAAGTTCTAAAAAATGAAGTGTCAAAGCTAATTTACTTTCATTTATAAATTTAACAATTAATGAGGAACAAGTAACCTTAATATCTGCCTAAATTTTAGAGCATATAACATATCAATCTAATATTAAACTAAAGGCTTCTTTTGGGGGGGGAACCTTTATTCACCTTTATTATTTATTTAATTAAAGTTGCAAGTATGATAGAAACTGGAGAAATGCTAATTAACACTGTGAAATTATGTACTGACAGCTGAATCTTCAGAACTAGGAATTACCCTAAGGCTTTATATAAAATTTTAAAGAAAGATCAAGTAGAAACCACAGCTACAAGTATAGTGAAAAGGTATGCTCACTCTAGTTGAAACATGTAACCAAATAGTAAGAAGAAGAAAAAGCAAAAAGCAGTAGTAACAGCAAAAACGACATCAGGTATTAACAAATGCTACTTGTACTGATAATATGGAATTAAATTTTACATCACATGAAAGAGATTCAGCAGCAAAACCCCCAAACCTTAACAGTGGTATAGTATCTCTTCTAGGTAGATGTTATATTGTCCCCATTAACCCTTCAAAAGCACTACCTAACTCCAACTATTGATATTTATTGCATTACACTGATGGATTTGGTGAAAGCATTTGTCAAATGCTTTCTCTGGAAGTCTTCAAAACTGTCTATCAAGTTCATTGGACATTTTCCCCATAATTAAGATATAATCTACTTATTAAGTGCTCTTTATACCAGTATCTAAATAACTTCTCTACAATAAGCATTTAATAAATGCTAAATGCAGTGACTACCGGAGGTAACTGTAAGAAGTTACAATAGAATATCTTTACAAGTTGAATTAAAACTAGTGACTGAAAAACAACTAATAAATTCTCTTTTGGGCTTTGAAAAAGAATAATTTTCTTTCAATGTTTTACTTCAAAAAGGTCTCTAACTCATAGATGGGGAGCCTGCACAAAGATCTTACCTTATCTCACCTCACCTCATAGACCTTCAAGTCACTTAAGATACTGTCTTTTTTCTGAGGTACGGAAGGCAACCCATGGGAAGAGCCCCTCCCCACTCCTCCAGTGCCGTGTGTCAGCAACTACATTCCCTCCTCTCCTACGGTTTTCAGTCTTGTTCACAGTTCACTGTAAACACCCTGATGTTTACCACACTTCTCCAATAGGCTGTACTTTTCACACACAGACCCCCCCCCAAAAAACCCAAGCATTTTAACACCCTCTTCAAAAAGGGGGTCAAAAAGGGGGTCAAAAAGGGGGCCAAAAGGGGGAACTAAAGACACACTAGAAGTATAACATTAAAAAAGATTCAGAAAACCTAAAGACAATAATTAGGCAAAGGAAACAAATGTGACCTTGACAATTCTGAATTGATAAAATTCAAAATCTGTTTCTCACAAAGATATCCAGTAAAAGAGGAATATAGGAATATATCACTGATAAAATTAAGCTCTATCAAAAATTAATAATTATAATACTTAATGTTGTGACACTAGTACTATTCTCATTAACATAAGAAACAAGTAAAGATATGTCCATTAACACTCATATTATTTAACATCGTTTTGAAGGTGCTAGCCAGCACAGTAGAACAAGAACAAGAAAGTATGGCATACGTATTAGGATTATTTGTATAATGATACATCTCAAACTCAAAATTACCTACCAAGAAGTATCAAGAAATCAACTAAAAAGCTATTGGAACCAATATATGAAATAGCTCGTTTTAAAATAAATCAGCAATAAGTAAGATATGGGGGAGTATTGCAGAGCTACATGTCTTTCTGCAATTACTTTTCCAACATGTCCACTCTCTTTAAGCCCCCATTTATTCCTTCAGTCTCAGAAGATTTACCTCGCTTTCTATCTCACAAACATGAGATCTGATCAGAACTTGCTCATCTCTCCAGTATCAATCATATACACTTACCCAGTCCTTTTGTTTTTCCATTAAAAAAAGAAGCTGTCCCTTTGAGCTATCCTGTGTTACTATGTAGTTCACTACTGATTATTCTTTCTTTCTCTTGTACGTTTAATCTCTTCCTCTCAAAAGGATACCTGCCATCATCTTTTATACATGTTAAAGACTCTTTCCTTAAAATAAAAAATAACTCTCACACTTCTCTCCGGCCACACTTCTATAACTCACTATCTCTACTGCTTCACCACCACCTGGTTACCTTCTTGGCTTCTCCTCCCACCATCCACCAAAAAGAGCTCATGCTAAATATAAAGTCACCTTCATGTTCCTGATCCAAAAGGTATTTTTTTAGGCTTCATCATACTTGACTTCTCAACATCTGTTCCATACTGCTTACCATCTCCTTCCTTTTTGAAACTCTTCCCTTTGCCTCTCATGCCCACCTTCTATGGTTTGGACCTTTCTTACCTCTCCAGCCTCATTTTGTATATTGCTCTTCATCTTTCTCGGCTCTCTAGCTACAGTGGCTCCCTTTCAGTCCCTTGAAAACAGGTGCATTCACCCCTGCCACAGGCTGTTGTGCAGGTGGCTTCCTCTGAACCTTCTGCCCGATTCCTTCTACCCTTCTCTTCTCAGCTCCTGGTTCAGCTAACCACTTTATCAGGGAAGCCCTGCCTCATCTCTCCCTAGTTCAAAATATCCTTCAGTACAGTCTAAAATCACACCCCTCTCCTGTATAGTATTTATGATAAATAAGTTCACGTTTTTGTGTGTGTGACCACCTAACCCCTGAATCTCAGGCTCCAAAAAGAGCAATAATTTTTTCCTTGCTATCATACTACAGTATTGTTCACTGCATACAGTAAGCATTCAACAAATTTCAATCGAATTAGTGAATAGATATGAGCTCATATCACAAAACTGAAGTAATTAAAAACATCCTGACATTGTTCCAGAAAAAGAATGGTAGAGTAAGAAACAGTATTTTAAAAGTTCAGAAACACACCCAGGATAAATAAAAATCAAATGTGTAACAAAGGTGTCTTCTGAATCAGCATTTATTTAATGGTATTAGAACTAAATGACTAAAAAAATGAAAGTAAATTTTTATTTCACACCACACATAAATTTACGATGGACTGCATATTTAAAGGTAAAACAAGGAACCTCCCAAGTCTAGGAGGAAATATAAGCAAATGTTATTTATGTAACCTTGGGAAGGGCCGACAGACTAAGCACTGATGGGGGCTAGGAGCAAGAGCAAGACTATACAGGAAAAAAACTGGCTCCATAAATAACCACAGACATAAAAATAAAAGGCAAATAAACTAGAAACAAGTATTTGCAGCATGGGAAGAAAGAATAGGTCTTAATATATTAAGAACTCATAAATTAATGAGAAAAACAATATAGATATGAATGATTTTAACATGTAAATAATCACAAACATAAAATGTTAAATGACAGTAATAATAAAAGGTATACTACTTAGAGCAATGTGGTGCCATTATTTATATATTAAAATTGGTAAAGATTTTTTTAAAATGCAGTGTGGATAGGGTATGAGTCAACAGGCATGTGAATAAACACACAGTCAGAGAATAAATTTGTACAATGCATCTTTTCATAAGGTAATCCATCAACGTACACAATTATTTCTTAAAATTCTGCATGCTCTTTGACTCAGTAATTCCACTTCTAGGAATTTACTCTAAGGAAATGATCACATCCCTATGCAAAACTACAACTACTAGTATATGGTATTCAAAATGCTCTTTGAAGTAGTAATGAATTAATCAATAAATAAATCAATTAGGTACTGACTAGGAATCAGACTAAATTACAGCACACTCATATTGGAATATAAAGCAGCCATTTAATATCTTGTAGATGAGTATGTAATGACATAGGAAGACATTTATAATAAATTGCTGAGTGAAAAGATCAGGTTATAAAACACTGGAATTTCACGATCCCATTTTTAAAATGGGAACATGTTGAAAATTCATTATGAGACAAAAATAAATCCCTTTGCAACTCATTTTATAACATGATTTACATATAAGCTCAGGTAGCCATGGAGATTAACCCACCATAATACAAAAACCCAGTAGAAAAAAAAAGTACTCACTCTTCCAATTTCTGCAGTCCAAGAAACAACAATGGTGTTTGGTACTGTTGTGGACAATCGGACAAGTGAGGTGATATTAATTGGTCGGCTGGGTCGCTTTGGTTCCACACCATTTTTAGTAGGTGGAAGATAACCCTAAGGATAAATATAATTTATTTCTACTTATTATCTCTACAATCATTTCAACTTCCATTTTTATAATCCCCTTACAAATATGCACTAGAATACATGACTATTCCCATTAAAAAGAAGCAAACATTTACAAAAATTTCCTGTGTTTCTCTAAATAACCCTATAATACTATAGTAAGCCTGAAAAAATTATTGGTGACAGCCCTAGCTAGTATGGCTAAGTGGATTGAGTGCTGGTCTGTGAACCAAAGGGTTGCCAGTTCAATTTCCAGTCAGGGCACATGCCTGGGTTGCGCGTGAGGTCACCAGTAGGAGGTGCACAAGAGGCAACCCCTACATTAATGTTTCTTTCCCTCTCTTTCTCCTGTCTTCTCCTCTCTCTAAAAATAAACAAATTCTTTTAAAAAAAGTAAAGAATCAGGATGAGTTCATAAAGATCTCGAACAGGTATATTTATAAGGAATATCTGAAAGTTAACCAATAACAGCCCCTCTTCTCATCCTCTGTTTAAGACACAGCATTCTTCCATTCCACCATAGGCTTCCAGATGTACGTGAATACAGCTGAAGTTTTACTGAAACAATGTCTTCTCCCCAAAATCCAGTGCAACATTTAAAGCACCCAACTCCAAGGCCTTGATTTTGTCTCCAGTGCTAATGTCACAGCTATTAACTGTATATAGTTGGTACAAGTGTTTCACTAAGTGAATATATATCCAAAATAGAGATGTTTTCTCAATGACAAACTACAATCAACAACAGTTGTTTTGACTTATGTAATACCTGTGTTGGCAATGCATTGAGTAAAAATAGCTTTTAGGACTTACTGGAAGGCTGCAAGGTTTTGTATTCACTTTCACACAAAGATTGGGTGGGAAGTGATCTTCTTGTGGACAACTGGTTTCTGATAAGCAAAACCTAAACAATAAAGAACAAATTTAAGTTCCTTTATTAAAAGATGACCTCAATATTTTTGCTCAACAGCTTATCTAAAAGATGGTCAAACTTAATTTAAAAAACTATCAGACTAGACATTTCATATGATGAACAAGCATATTTAAGCATGTTTAAAGTAAATAATTGTCAATGTAGTTTCAGTGGTCATGACTATCCATGTGTGGTTGTCTGAATATTGTTTCCAATCATTTGAGCGTGTTCTGAGGGGATGGAGGAGAAAGGTTTTGTAGTTGGAACAAATTTAAGTAATTCTGAATCAAAAAATAAAATTAAGTTTCCTTAATATAGAACTTCTCACAGCTAGGCTAACATCCATTGTAATTTTTTAAGAGGGAGACATAACATACAGTATTTCCTACCTTTATTTTCCTGTGGAATTGTTTGTTTGTTTGTTTTTAGTGAAATGATCTAAGTCCATCCCCTGGACCTAATTCTATCCACTAATCAAGGCACTACATTATTCCCTGAGAATTGAAGATGTCAAATAATAACATTACTTATACCCACATATATTTAGAATACTATTTCAGAAGCCCACCCTGGCTGGTGTGGCTCAGTGGGTTGAGCACCGGCCTGTGAAGTGAAGGGTCACAGGTTTGATTCCCAGTCAGGACATGTGCCTGGGTAGCGAGCCAGGTCCCCAGTTGGGGATATGCAAGAGGCAACTGATCCATGTTTCTTTCCCACACTGATGTTTCTCTCCCTCTTTCTCCCTCCCTTCCCCTCTCTCTAAAAATTAATAAATAAAATCTTTAAAAAGAATAAAATTAGGTGAATTTTTAAGAACCTCTAAAGAATAGTAACTTCTAAACTGTGGATATGTATTGTAGTCAACACTGTACCTTAACTGGACCTGCACTGTGAAGTCACATTTGGTCCCAGAAATATCCCTAGAAAGGACAGAGTAAGAACTACAATTATTTTCAAAATACACACTTGAAAGCTGATTCAAAGACACTGCTACTCCAGGTAGTTTTTTCAAATGATCAGAAATACAACTGTTTTTAGGGTAACTAACACTATAATAGTATTTTCAATACTAATATTTGCAAGACACTAATACCCAATATGCTGTTTTATAAAATCGCTTATAGACAAAACTAGATTTAAAGGCCAAACTGCAGGTTACACTTGAAGACAACTTACATTGAACTACTGATTTGCTGCACTTGTTGTGGTGTCAATGCAAAAGCAAAACAGGTTTCTCGAAAGCGCTGACTGTTGTCTGATGCTAAAGAAAAAAGAAGAATTATACTTTTAATTATCTTTACATTCATCAATAAAGAACACAATAAAAATAAATAACCAATCACATGCCTTTCATGAACTGAGATGTATTCTACAGTTTAGATAACAAGACAACTAAAGCACTAAATAAGAAATATGCCAATTGTAGAAATAGGCACAAAAATGGCTAATTCCAGAAGATACATCAGGATTTAGATTCAGAAAATATATAATCCAAGAAACACTAATAAAAAATTATCTAATTGTATAAGATTGGCATCTAAAAAGCATACTTGTAAATAAAACATGTTGATATTAATTTTACTTAAAGTAGAACATAAACCCATTTAAAGATAAAGTACATGGTTTCTCAGCTAAGTAACAAACATACTCACCTGGAGATCTGCATAGGTAAGATGACATTTAGTCTTTAAGGCAAATGAAGAATTTTGTCATCTCCTAACTATAACATTCAAGTTTTACCCAATAAACATCATATATAGTTTCTCCTATACTTAAACAACTTGACTTCAGAATCTGCTTGTGGTCACTCACTATCTCAAAGATGAAAAGAGTTACAAGAATAGAGGAAGGGACTAAAGAAAAAGGAGGGAGGGAAAGAGAGGTGGAGAGAGAGAAAAGAGCAAGAGAACAGGCAAGCAAGCACAGGCATAAGATAACTTTTTGGTTAGTGACTATTTCAGTGTAGAGCAGGGATTCATAAAGCATGCTGCTGTGAGCAACAACAGTTCTATTAGCTTTTAATACACATTATATATATGAAAAAATATCAGTGGTCAACATCCCTCTTGTTCACAAATGTTTTCTCAGTGCTTGGCACAAAGAAGCACTGCTTGACTGTTAACGGAATAAAATAATATGAAAATTAAGAAATACCAGATTAAACTATTTAAACTGTACTTTTTCAGGGTAATTTTCTAGAACTAAAAGATCCCTAGAAGTTATTACCAAGGAACTCCTGGTCTGTGGGCCACTTAAAGCTGTGAAGAAAAAGTAGCTGAATTGGGCCAACTCTTGCTTAAAAATTGGGTTTGGTATGACTTGCAAGCAACATTCCCTCCACAACTACCCACCAAACTGCAGAATGCCATGCTGAAAAACCTGTACAAACATTTAACTATGAGAAAGAGAATAGGAAAAATCATTGCTACTCTTTCATCTCAATATACAGTAGGAGTATCTGTTAACGGATAGGTTTGTGTTTCTGATTTCTATGACGTGGGACAGTTTTTCTCTTAAAGAATCTATCACCAAGAAATAGTCACTAACCAAAAAGTTATCTTAATTATGAAGTATCGACCTGGCAAATGGCCGATAACCAAGGACTAAACAGCTTCCTGGGTCAGGCGTAAAGTAAGTAACTCCTTTGTTTCTTACAGATTATGTCTCTATAAAGATTAAATATAGTCCAGTAGGTTTAGCCTAATTTAGCTTTCTGGCTCCATTCTACAACAGTGCTAAAATAACTTCCTGATTACAAACAATCATATTACTCACTAGGCAAAAATTCAAATCATTTTAGAATATGTATGTACAGTAAGTTTTGGACATGCACATGCAGATTTAGAGAAAGATAGGACTAAATAATAAGGCAGTTTCTTGTGCCATACAAAGAATCAGGTTATTACTTAACAATAACCCCTATTTACAATATATCCTCTTTTATATGCAAATTATAATTTTCACAGTTATTACTATTTATCTGGAAAAGCATCTTTTTACACTATGTGGTTTTGAGGCTTCATTTCCACTATGAACACCAGTGAAGAATTTGTAATTTGGGTCTTTGATAATAGATTACCTAAAAATTTTTTCAAGTGACTTAAACTATCATTACCCCTTTCAGAAAAAATTCAGGTGAAATAGAATCATAGAATCTTCATACTAAAAATGACGCCTTAGAAGTCATCCAAAACAATGACTTCCAATGTTGGGGGTATGCATCAATGTGTACACAAGACAATCCATAGGGATGCAGGAAAAAATAGCTACTTGTAAAACAGGAGATTTAAAAGTAGAGATTTTACATAAAAATCTAAAATCTAGTTTACAAAAATATCTAAAATTTTATATGAAAACCTTATACTTCTATTTTTGTGTTTTATAACATACATTAATATAATAGCTTAATTATAACACATATAAATATATAGAGTATATGATAAATTATTCAGCTGAGAGGTCCATATGATCAAATACGTTTGTGGACCACTGATCTAGAGTTAAACCTTATTTCACTTCTTCCATTCATACGTTGTTTGAATCCTTTTAGAGATGGGGAAGAGTGGCCATTACCTTGTCAGTCAGAAGATGGCTGGTGATAAACAGTTTAATTGTAAGAAAGCTTGCCACCCTATAGAGAGCAGCAAAGTTTAGTGGAAAGAGATGAGATCAAAGACCTAGATTCCAAACTGGTTTTGCCACATATCTGCCATATGAACTTAGGTATTTACCCACTCTGAGTTTGTTTCCTTCAATATATAAACACACATACACACAAACCCTAATTTGGTTATTTTGAAGAAAAGAAATGCAGTAGGGTATTTAAAACAATGAAAAATTTCCTTTTCTGTGCCCTTTCCTCCTTACTTATGCCCTTAATGGTATCAAAATATATAATGCTGTAACTTCTGCCCACTGATGTAATACTTCATCCTATTTCCAGAGACAGACATTCTTCAATACTTTAGACACCATTAATGTGCCGTGACTCTTCCCACTGCTTCAGGTGAGATTTCAGAATTATTCACCACCCTAATCTTTTTCCTCTATAAAACAAATCCCAGGTTGTCATACCCTAAAGTGACAGCCAGAACTAGCCACACTCTGTCATAGCACATATTATTCCAAATATTTGCAGCCCCTCTGTACTAGCCCATCCCCATGGGAGGATTCTACCTCCAGTGCCACTGATACTAGCCCTGTCCAATGAAATGTGAGTGGAAGCATACTGCTTCCAAAGAGAATGTTCAAGAGCTATCCTTTGGTTTTACCATCTACTTTCCAGTCTGCTTTGATTTTAGAGTGAAGAGAACATGGAGCAGTCCCACAGCTATAACGTAAGCAAGAAATGAACCTTTGTTGTTTGCCACTGAGATTCATGGTTGCTTATAAACTGACTGATAGATCATTCTAGATAGCATGTGACTAGAAACTATTTATCAACAACCATTTAGTATTGTTAACCCACACAACAATAATGAAGAAAAGGTGTCTACTCCTTTTTTAGATTTAGAAATTGAGATTAAAGTAGTTATGTAACTGTCAAGCCTCATATAAGTAGAATCAGAATTGGAATTCATATCTACTTGTCTTCAAGGCTCATGTTCTTTTCATCACATGCATTTATTAAACTCCCCTAACCTAGGCGCTATACTTCTATAAATGCAGCCCAGTGTTACACTAGATCACAAGAAATAAAAAAAGACTCTTCCCCTCATCATAACTGGTTATCATATTTACATATTTCCTCCCATAATTTGTTTTTATATCAAATTATGTATATAATTTGAAAACTTGCTCCTAAAAAATTATCCTTGTCACAATTATATTTTTCAATTACAATCTATTATCATATTTTAATTATTACACTGTATTCTATGTCCAGGGTATATGAAAATTTTAATTCACTCCCCTGATTAGTCAGTTAGGTTGTTTCTAACGTCTCATTATTTGAAACAATTGTGTGAACATCTTTGGATTTACAGATTTGTTTTTTGAAAGGGAGAGCAACTTACTGCCTTTCAATCAGTCCCAGATGTGGAATTTCTGGGTCAAAAAGAGAGATTTTTATGGATTTTAACACATCACATGTGATTTTCAAATGGCTGTAACAATTGTAACACTTTATTAGCAATTTATGCACCTACTAATTGCACCCTACTCTGGCCTACATGGAGTCGTTGCTAATTTAATGGGTGGGTCCTTCTTACTCCTTAGCAGTTTAATCTGCATTAAGAATTTCCCCATTTTTAATTTCCTATTTAATTGTTTAATCTTGTCCTACGCCCATTTTTGTATTTGCTTAAGGGACACTGACCCTTGGAAATTTGCTGAAAATATTTTTCTCAGCCTGTTGTATTTATTCATTCTGCCTACATTTTTGAATAATATAAAAGTTAAATTTATACGTAATAGTCTAATCCATCAATCGTCTTTGTAAATTCTAGTTGTTCCCCTTCCTAGGTTCAATCAATTAAAAATTCAATTCTTTGGCCTGTTGTTTCTATGTAATTATTAATCTGGAACTTATTTTAGTATGTGATATCTTAAAAATCTAAACTTCTGTTACTACAAATTGCATATAGTTATACTAACACATTATTTGTTAAATAATCCTTTGCTTCCCTATGGATATATGAGCTTCCTTTATCATATATTAAATTCTTATATCCAACATGGTCTATTTTTGGGCTATCTTCCCAGTGGTCTTTTTTATCCTGGTGCTGGCACTCTACTTTTTTTTTTTTCCATCCCACAAGAAGCTGTAACTTTATTAAAGATAGAAACAGTACAAATTTCAAACCAAGCTGCAGTAATTCTTTCAAAACACCAAAAAAAAAGGGGGGGAGGCCCGGGGCCCTCCTTTTAGATGGTTACATCGTTAATTCCATAATAGCATTTACAATATCATTACTGTTGTTTTTCAGGGCTCGGACTGCCTTTGCTCTTGACACATTTGCTTCTGACATGACCAATTCTATGTCTTTAACTTCCACACCTGTTTCATCAACCTCTTCCTCTTCACTTTCCTCTTGTACAGTTGGAGTCTGTGTGTTTTCCTGAATGTTTGAGGCAGCCTCACCTTGAACTTTGAATTTCTCAGCAGCTGCTAGTTGTGCCTGCTGAGATAAATCCTCGATCTTGGCTTCCCCAAAAACTATGTAGGTATCTGAAGCTGGGCTCTTGTAGACATCTGGTTTTGTGAGGACAAAGAGGATATTCTTAGATTTCCGGATAGTGACCCTAGTCACTCCTGTAACC